TTCCCTTTGGATAGAAAGATGGGCAAAAAGTTTAAATGAACATAAAATGAATAGATTTCTTTTATGACTTCATATCCTATCTGTAAAGAAATGTGATTTGCCAAGAATTATTCAAATATAAATGATCAGTAATGTAGAGAATAAAGTACCTAGTTCAATATAAAGGCAAATGTCTCATACCTTAGGTTTGATTAAAAAATGCAAAAATATTTTATGACACATTTATATAATGAATAGTAAATACCATGTATCACAGTATAATGTTTGCAAAAGTTATCATATAATTTTAGATAAATTCTTAGACTTGACTACTAAATATCTAAAATTACCTGCATCAAAATAGGATGTTTTTGAGGCCTGCTTGATAGGAGAGTAATCTTCATCTGTAAACCTAAGCCAGAGTTATCAAAATAATTTTTTAAGAAAATCAGTGACTACAAAAGCAAGCAATAATCTGTAACAACATAATTATATTAAAGTAAGTAAAAAAGGCAAATTGTTAAGAATGTGTGCTATAGATCTTCTTGTAATCGACTTCAAGGAAGTCATTTTAATTAACGTAGCCTAGTAGTTAGTATTAAAGGGTTATAACTTTAAAATATCCAAAATGAAAATAATTTGTTATAGTGTACTAAGATTGTGGGCTCACCTGCACTACACATTTCACTGTCTGTTAGTGTATAACCAATGGTGAACACTTTCATTAGTTACCTGCCTTTAGTCATGAGTAATGCACTTCCTTAGAAAAAGGCCTCTCTTCTGCTACCTAGGACATTTATGAGTCATATATCCTAATTATCCATTACCTTACTGATAAATTGAACTAAATTTAAGGTAAGTAGCAAATTAAGTAATAATACACGCTTAAAACTCTTATTTTTAAATGGGGACAAGTGATTATTATAATATATACAAATAAAAAGCATTCTTTCCTATACATGTATATGGGTAATATTTCAGAAACATACCATTGTTTCAGAACAAGTAAAATAATGGTATAAAAACCATTTTTAACATCTATGTATTATTCACACTATTGTAATGAGTGTGTGAGAAAAAAAATTAAGTATCATCTTAGGTATAACAGTTTATTCAGGTGCCTAATTAAGATGCTCTCATGAAACTTTCTTTAAAAAAAAATCTTAAAAACAGATACACTGATCTCTTTTACCAGCTCATCTTCAGCGTAGAAAGTAACCAATGGAAAACTATGGAATTACTAATAAACCAAGCAGCTCACCCACACTGTTTACGGCCTGTGTAACGTTCTGCTATTCTAGTGTGAATTACAACTGCTTGGAACCTACGGCCCTCCTTTATCCCAATGATTTATGTCTACAGGCACTGGTTGGTGATAAGACACTGGCATTTTGGTTGATGGATGCAGAGATGTATACAAACATGAGTGTTTTAGCTCCTTTTACTCCGGTTATCGACCGTGGAATACAGCTTCACAAGATGATTCGGCTCATTACTCATGCACTTGGTGGAGAAGGTTATCTCAATTTCATGGGTAAGTGTGAGTTAAACAGAAATCCAATCTGTGTTTAAAATACCAACTCATACATAATAGAAAGGTTAGGGAATATTTTTTGGGGGGTTTTCAAATTAAAATACAAACTGTTATTTTATCACATATGTTTTTCGGGCCAGTATGCAGAGTTATTTTTAAGTCCTGACATTTTTTTCTGAATTTGTTTATTATGATTTCTTTGTATTATGTACATATGAAGCATAATTAAGTTGTAGATGTTAAGTAACAATATAATAAACCTTTTTTAAATTTAGTTTTCATTGAGGTAATTGTGCTTGGTCATAAGTGTGAAAGTCATGGCTGAGAGTTATTGTGAAGAACAAAATGTTTACTTTTGAAAGCAGGAAAATATGAATTATTGGAAGGCCCTATCTGATGAAAGCTGAGTAATAAAATATGGGAATTAACTAATAGGGTGTTTTTATGTTATTTGGTCAACAGCAAACATTTGGATGTTTGAATTTTAGGAAATTTAGGCTTCTAGGTTAGACAACAAAACATGTACATGCGGCTGCCTTATTTTTCCATGACAGAAGCCTCAGAGCTTTAGATTTATTAAGTTTTATATGCAATCTCAGATAGGATTTTGAAAGCCTCACTTCTTTACAAACTTGTTAGGAAAACAAGTCCAAGAAAGTTCATAATGTGAGCTACTTTGTGGTTCTAATCAGTGTTTTTT